GGGCTTCCTTCGCGCATTTGGAACTCCGGGAATTTTTTACACAACAATCCCGAAAACCTTTAAGCATTTCCATGCCCCCCCCCCCCCTCCCGGCCCGATGACCACAGCTCTCCATTGGCTGAATCAGAGGGAGGAATCTCGGCAGCACCCATCTACCTACTCTACACTGCTACGGTGCAGCAGCAGCGGCTGCAGCAGCGGGGCTGCCGCAGCAGCAACAGCAACAGCAAGCACGAAACATGTGAGTCTTTCTCCGCACACGAACTGCGGCAAATATACTACAAAACGCTACATAACGACCGTCCGTCCGTCCATCCGCCCCCTCCCACCATCACACAAACTTTCAAAAGATCAACGCGGCCGCACGCAGCGCGCGCAAGCGTGCGAGAGCCAGAAAAAGGCACAGCCCCTTAAAAACAAACCTATTCGAGCAGAGCAACGACAGCCATCAGCGCAATACCCGCCGACATAGCCCCGATCTCCGCCACAACCTCCACGAACGAAGGGTCATCGCTGAGGCGCGAACACATGTATAGCAGTAGTACACTGCTGTACTATTATAATAGAGGACATGGCGGAGGTGGCCGGAAGACGCCGCGTGTCGAGCTCGGGCCCTCTCGCTGGTGGCGTATGTTAGTGAGTCACATAGGGCGTGAGATGCGAAGCTTGCTAAGACAACAGCCACAACAGCAGTTTGGGTATCGCTTCAAGTGGGTATTTACATAACAGGATGTGCTCGGCCGTCCTTGTTTCTTGTGTCCAGCTACAATATAGGGGAGTCCGCGGACTCGATCGTCCTCAAGCTGCCAAGAAAGATCAAGCTGCGAAGATCCTGTCCGGCAGACCGCACGACCTAACTGACTTTTCTAGAGCCTGGTTGTCTTGCTCGCATCATCTCGTCACCTATCTTGTCAAGAAGGGGACAACTGCCTCGTCGATTGACACAAGGCGATGCAATGTTACCAGCAGCAGTAGCGTGTGCCGGGTGATTGTAGGGCAGGAACATATCCACCGTCACGACCACCGGCGCCTCCGGTAAGCGCGCGCACCGCGCGCTCGCTCAAGAAAAACAGCATGAAGCCTCCGAGCACAAACAGCGGCAGCGCCAGCTCCGACATGCCGTGTTGGTGCCCTCCTCCTCCTCCCCCCTCTGCCTCCGATCCCCCAAAAACGCCGCTGGCTTGCTTCAGCAAGCCCTGGAGCGGGGAGAGAGCATCCTCGTCGTGATCGTCGTGGTTGTGGGAGTGGTGGTCATGATCGAGATGCTCGTGTTCATGGTGGTCTTCTTCGTGGTGGTGGTGGTGGTGCCCCCCTTGGGTATTCGTTGCCATGGGTTATTGGTGACGTTGTCGGTTTCACGGGGGCCCATCGACCACACGCACGCGTTGAAAGAAAACGCCAGAAGCGAAAAACGGAGAGGGGGTGGCGGAGGGTGAGCGGAGCTCGTCAGGGAAACGTTTTACCTTTAGTAGGACAACAATGGAAACTCGGCTACTGTGAGAGTCGGAGAGTTGGCACCGGGTGCGATCGTTTTTTTCAATGTTTTTTCCCTCGGGTTTTTTATCGCACCCCGGTGCCATCTCTCCGACCGGTGCCATCTCTCCGACCCCGGTGCGGAAATGCAATTATAATAAATCATTTCGTTTAGAATTTTCAAGACACCCCGGTGCGATCTCTCCGACCGGTGCGATCCCCGATGAAATGCACACGGGTGTTGTATGCACGCACCCCGGTGCCGGGTGACCCTATTTGCAGGATGGTCCTGCAACGGAATGTTGCAGGATGGAAAACGCCTCCAGAACCAACCCACCACAAACCCAGAATCAAGCAGCGAACCAAGACACACAGAAACACAGTAAAACACAGACACTTGCTCCACAGACCACACGAAACCAGCACGAAACACACAGCCCACAACCGGGCAGACTACACACAGCCCACACAGCAGACATACAAGGTTGAACCAGGGGTTGTACCTCTCTCTGTCTCCGCCCAGTGATGCTGACTCCCAGTTCCAGTTCTTACCTCACATAGCGTGTAGAGAGACACATTATCAGCGTGTCGGTGTTTACCCCCCTCCAGTGTGACCCTGGATGGTTGTAGTGTTGTAATTGTACGCAAAAATACGCTGAAAAAGTGTACTGCTCTACACACACTGAAAAGTGTAGACTAGTGCACGTCTCACCACGAGAAATGGAGGGACTGTCGCCATAACAAAAAGTAGGACGAAATCACACACACGCGCACAGAGAGAGGGAGCAGCAGAGGGCTCCAGACTACAGCAGTACCTGTGGTTGATATAAATTGGCTTGCGGACCCCTCGAGTCCATTTTATATGAGTGTACCTTTCTAGCGTAAGTTAGCCTGCGACCACGGGAATCGACCGCGTCAAGTATTGGATCAGTACGGACAGTCATGAAGGCTAGGTAGAGAGATCGAAACGGTTTTTTTATGTGACAACAATTTTTTTGAGGCCACTGCTGTGTAAAGTACGGGGGGGGGGGCTTTGGTATAGGAAATGAGAGGATGGGTGTTCACCAATGCAATGAACAAGTTGGCATGAAGCCTCGTGGAATCGTCCGCGCCGCCCTCTACTTCGACGACGCTGCTGCTGTCCGAAAGCAGGTCGTCATCTCCACCCAAGGGCAGCTTCCTCCCGATAATATCCATGATGTATGTGGTCTGTCTTTGCGTGTGGTCTGTGGAGCAGGTGTCTGTGTTTCACTGTGTTTCTGTGTGTCTTGGTTCGCTGCTTGGTTCTGGGTTTGTGGTTGGTTGGTTCTGGAGGCGTTTTCCATCCTGCAGCATTTCGGTTGCAGGACCATCCTGCAAATAGGGTCACCCATGACATCTCCCCGACCGTTGCCATAGTATTGATTGGTACCAGTGTAGGTACCCATGCACGCACACGGTCTTCTGCACACACACGCATATCTGAGCCGGAAAAAAGGCGGAAATACACATACAGTGGTGGCTACGGTTAAACAGAGGCTATATATTAAGGGCCGTTTTAAACGCAGCACTATTTCGCTCCAAATTTCCAAATTTCCGAAAAAAAAACTGGAAAGGTTCCAAAAATTTGGAACGAACCATTCCAAATGTTTCGGCCCCTACTTCTTTCCAAATTTCCAAATTTTCCAAACAAAAAATGTTGTTGTGTGGGCGCCGCAAATCGCCGCTCCGTGTGTTTTTGGAACGAAATTTTGGGAAATTTGGACAAAAATCGCCGCGTTTAAAACGGCTCTAAGAGAAATTACCGATTTAAGAGAGTCAAACTGGCTTGTCACGACCATGAGAAATACATACATTTCACAGTGCGGTTTTAAGAGAAAACCTGATTTAAGAGAGAAAAACTGGCCTGTCACGACCCTCTCTTCAACCGTAGCCACCACTGTACGTACCCCGATAATGCGGCGAAATAGCGCAAACAAAAAAAATCTAGACGATGCCAGTCAGTGCGAACGCACACACAGCCATTGATTGTGCCATGTCAGAGGGTGGAGGTACTGCTTCCTCACAGACCAGTGGCGGTACTGCTGGTGCTGGTGCTGCTGATGCTGCTGCAGCAGCTCCTGCAGCAGCTCCTTCAGCTTGCTCTCGTCACAAAAGCGAGTATTTCAGATGGATCCAACCTAAGGGGGGAGGAGTCTGAAATTGGTGTTTATTGGAGTTGATGAGAAGTGAGCATTTATTATTAGACGATGCCAGTCAGTGCGAACGCACACACAGCCATTGATTGTGCCATGTCAGAGGGTGCAGGTACTGCTTCCTCACAGACCAGTGGCGGTACTGCTGGTGCTGGTGCTGCTGATGCTGCTGCAGCAGCTCCTGCAGCAGCTCCTTCAGCTTGCTCTCGTCACAAAAAGAAGTATTTCTTACGGACGTTCTGGTCCTGTATATTCTGGTGCTGATGGCATGCTGTTCATGGTATTATAGTGTTCATGCCGATGGTGATGAGCAGCACACGCCTGGGACGGGGGTGGGTGAGAGGGCGGAGAGCGGAGAGACACCTTCTGTCCAAAACAGCAGTGAGTGGTCCTCTCAGGCTGCAACAGGCGTGTACAGTAAGTATATATATATTGAAACTCTCGGTATGCACTTTGATTCCACTGAGCAAACAAACTCTGCCAAACATACTCGGTAGGAAGGAACACCCGGGTACGACATCAAAGGGTATTGGGGTCCCGACAACGTGTAGCTCTTCTCCCGACATCGAATGGCCTGCTCACGTCGAGGGGAAGCTCGTCAACAGAGTGGGTTCGAGCGATAAGAGAGTAGCTGTGAGCAGATTTGGTCGTTCGGTGCGGATGATTTCTAGACAAACATCTAGGTGGCCGTATGGTCCGTTCCGCAGAGAACGTTGTTCACCTGCTGGTCTTCTTAACACTTAGATTTGTGACCTGCGTGGTATACACACATGTAACACACGGAGGATGGAGCCGTGATTCATTTCTCCCAAAGGATAAGCCAATCTCTCCGCTTTCACCTGCCGAGTAGGCGAGACCAAGTACATTGGCCATATGTATGTCACGGACCCCTTTTCCGGACCACGGGAACCGCCTAAGGTTGCCTAGAGCTGCTCGCACAGCAATATACTCAACCCATGTGTGTGTGTTGGTGATGCCATTTGGTGTAGTCTAAGTCTCGCATGCAGCATGCAGAGGCAGGAGTGGCGAACGCATTTTGCATGTTGATGTATCGTAAGTAGGAACAGCAGAGCTCGAGGTGCAACATGGAACTGCTGTACTACCATGAAGGGTTCCTTCCCAAACGGATCCTGCACTGCGGTACAACCTATCTCACCCGTCAACAGATGCGGAAGGAGATGGAGGAACACGTCTCCCATCATTCCACCGACGGCAAAGCACAGCAAGATGCGCTGGACCGCGCTCCCCGGCTTGGTCGCGCTCTCCGGGATGAAAGGCAACACCATCGTCGGAACCGACGATATCAGCCCGGTGGCAATCGCAGCGTCGCGCCATGGGTGCGCCATGTCTTACTACGGTGAAGAAAGCACCACTTTGGCTAGCTAACCTGCTCACACCCTCAAGCTTGCGCCGTGCTCGTCCTGCGTCTCGTCTGCCTGCTGCTGCTGCTGCTGGCTGGCTGTCGGGGTCAAGTCTGGTCAACAGGAAGTACGTTGGCGGTGACGGCAAATCATACGTCGCGGCAGCGGGGGGGGTTCCGCACACTGAGCAGGTCAGAGGGTCAAACAGAGCGACAAAGAGCAGTGTCTTGTGAGTGTCTGCCTTCACACAGACGTTTGCCACCATGGGGATCAGCATTATGAAGCTGGTCACTCTGTGGCTCGTGGCATCTGCGGAGAGCTTGCGCGTGCACGGCGCCTCAGCTGCCGCCCAAGGCGCAAAAGGGGTTCAGGGCCGAGAGTCGGGCAAGAAGGTGTCCAAGCAGCAGCAGCGCGCGCAGGCGGCAGCAGCGAAGGACGTGTGCAGCGTCGGCGACTCGCCGGCAACATGCAGAGAGCTCACGGCGAAATACAGAGGAGGGGGTGAGTTGGTGTGTTCGACAAGCATGTAGGGTTTCGAGGCTGCGTCTCCGCCTACACGTACGTGCCCCGCGGCCCCTTTTGGACTTGATCCTGTAGAATTTTCGTCTTGCAGGTCATGATCAGGGGCCACGAGGTGCTCGTGCCTTCCGCCGGTGGATGTGACGGTGGATATGTTCCTGCCCTACAATCACCCGGCAGCAGCTACTGCTGCTGGTAACATTGCATCGCCTTGTGTCAATCGACGAGGCAGTTGTCCCCTTCTTGACAAGATAGGTGACGAGATGATGCGAGCAAGACAACCAGGCTCTAGAAAAGTCAGTTAGGTCGTGCGGTCTGCCGGACAGGATCTTCGCAGCTTGATCTTTCTTGGCAGCTTGAGGACGATCGAGTCCGCGGACTCCCCTATATTGTAGCTGGACACAAGAAACAAGGACGGCCGAGCACATCCTGTTATGCAAATACCCACTTGAAGCGATACCCAAACTGCTGTTGTGGCTGTTGTCTTAGCAAGCTTCGCATCTCACGCCCTATGTGACTCACTAACATACGCCACCAGCGAGAGGGCCCGAGCTCGACACGCGGCGTCTTCCGGCCACCTCCGCCATGTCCTCTATTATAATAGTACAGCAGTGTACTACTGCTATACATGTGTTCGCGCCTCATTTATGCATCCTTCCTTGCTGATGTTGTTGTTATTGTCTTCGCCTTAAAAACCGGTCTCCGCTCAGTACTTTCTACTGTCCGTACTGGTCCAACTGACGCGAACGCCTTCCGTGGTCACAAGGCCAACTTTCCTTGCAGGGAATAAAGTATACAGTCAGTGGAGCTGCTTTTCTTGGTTTGCTCAACCGTTTTGCGCTTTGGCGCCTGTAGTTATGTGCGCGCTCTCTCTCCTCTATGACCGGCACTTTCGGGTCGCCAGATGAGCCGCTAGTCCAACGCTGCTTCACACCATTATGGTGGTACTGGCCGGCGGTTGGTGTTTCGATGGTTGGACAATATCAGGTGCACGCGGTTGGTGTACCGGCAGTAGGTACAGCAGTAGATACCGAACCTACGCTACACAGCAGCGCTAGTAAAAAAGGCGAAGCCCTGAGAAGCACAACCGTGGATCACTCGTCTACTGCCATAATCTACAAAACATAGATTACTCACGTTATGGGAATTGACACGAAG